CCCCCACACACACACACACACACACAAAAAAAAAAAATTTATTGATGTTAATTCTATATATTAGGTCCGTTATGGTGAATCATAATGTAGAGATTTCACATGATTATAGGAGGCAATCGGGCATGTGTTGGTCCCTATGCTTACGCAATGAAAGGTCATAGGAGAGGTTTTTTCCTGAGTTATGGATGTTAATGGCATATACTTGGTTCCTGATGGTGAATTTCATAATGTAAAAGATTTCTCACAATTATACGAGGCAACCGGGCATGTGTTGGTCCCTATGCTCACGCAATGAAAGATCATAGGATATAGTGTTATCAGTTTCTGTCTCAAGTAGAGGAGTGATTAGTGATTTCATTTGGGGATGTATCATTTCCAAGATGTATAGGTTTTTTGATTAATGGGATTTTACTTATTCTGTGCCTTCTCTGCTCCAGCCACTAAAAGAAAAAGGAAAATAAGGCTAACAAAATGACTTCAAGATGTATTTAAGTGGGTACTCCTTCTATCATATTGGTTATGTATGCTATCAAAGTTGACTTTAGGAGGGCACAAAGAATAGCTTTTTGGAATGCACATTGTGAAACATGGTGATATACATGTTGGAAGCAAAAACTAGTTGGTCTAGTATTATTTTTTTTTCCCATTGAAAGTTTTATCTTGTATTCCTAATAAAAACTTTAACTATGGGAGAGATGCACACCAAACTCTAAGTGACACTGTATTTTTGGAAAGGGATTGAGCCTTGTAATGCGACACAGTATGGAGATCCTATTGATGCTATCAATCACTGGTCCTTGGAGCATAGATGCTTTATAAACTTGATGAGAAAGAGATTGAGGAAATTTATTCTGCCGTCCACTTCATGTTTCTCATTGAACTGTTTCATACTGCTGTCAAAGTAGCATTGTCCAACATGTTTTTTGCAATTTTAGATTTGATGTTTGCTCTATTCTTGGTTGTGTCCATCCTACGCAGACACTATGACAATTTCTTCATTACGTAATTGTATACTAAGAGGACTCCTTCAGCTTTCTCTGTGGTTGACTATGGTAACCCCTTTAACTTCTGATGGAAAATATTAGTTATTTTTTGCCATTAGGTTTAGTAGGCCAGGACCTTGAGCCTTGTTGAGCCTTCTTTTGAATCAGTATAGTGAAGCCTCTCTTACAATCTTTTTTGTGTCTATGGTGTTAGTGTATTCATTTTTATCTCTTGACATAAGGTTTGAATATTGTGTTAATTATTGCATCAAGCCAATTGAGGGAAAATTTTATGCTCAAGTTCTTTATCTCAAGTTTTAAGCAGCACTTTACAATCTCACACTATAGGCATGGTCACTTTGATTGTTTTAAAGAGTAGGTGATACTCTTTTTGCATGAGCTGCACTTTTCACCAAAATATTTCAAAGAACAAAGCAGTATGAAGATGCCATATGTACACAGTGTTGATTGAAAAAAGATTAGACTAAGAGTACACATAACAGACATGTTGGTAGCATGGCTTCTTAGTGAATAACCAGCAATAAAACTTAATTAAATTCTTCTTTTTGGAAGTACTTAATCTACTTATTGAACATGGGAAAAAAAGTTAAACCCATTTTACTTTAGATTCTATTGTGATGATATAACAAGTACAAGCTACAACTTAATGATTCATGATATATCCATATTTATATAGTTGCATTCAACTCATTAAATTGAACCTTGTAAAGATAAGATAACGCCTTTGTGACCGCTCTTCCTGACCTTAGGAAGGACTAAATTGAGGCTTTTACTGAATCTATACCTTTATGGAACTTTTTACTCTTCTTTTATATTGGTTGTCTATTTCTTATTTTTGTGGAGACATTACAAGAAAGTGAGTGGTGCAACCAGCAAGGCCCATAGGCTTAAATAAAGATTCTAGACTAAACTAGTCAAAGAAGACTAAGCTAGTAAAAGAAGGAAGACATGATAAGAAGTGTAAACCAGCGTCATAGGGCTGCAAAGGCACTATCAGGGGAGGCTTTTGAGAGAGATACGAGAGAAGCATATCCTTAATTGACTATGTCAGGTGGCATAAGGAGTCTCTTTCCCAATTCATTTTCGGTTTTCTGCTGGCGACTTCAACTGTAACCGTAGCTCTATTATTGGCCTGAGCAAGATATGATTGATTTGAATGTGACCTTGATTTTAAGCAATTATCTCTTAATGGATTCTAAGAACAAAGTTCTTTAACTCCCTCTCACTATTCTTTTTGGTTAGGGGATGGGGCCCTTAAATATATAATACTCAAATTACTTGGAAAGCTAAATGACATGTTATATCTTTCAAACCTGCTGTCTTCGAGTCATTTGGAATGAAGACTAAATCGCTCTTCTGACTTTGGTTCATTAGTGAACAAGGACATGGTGTTCTTACAATGCTAGAATGATATGTTTGTTAAAAGCAAATGTTTTTATCTAAAAGTGCAAGTGTGATTGGAGCTTGAAAAAACTATGTGATCTTGAATTGGTATACCCCTTTGTTTGTGTGCTTTCCATTCGACTTTTCGACCATTGGTTTGCCCTATTTCTTGGGTCAATGAACTCTGTGTTGGCAGCTAAACAAGTCAATTTAAGTGGCTTTGCCTGAAAATCTGTCCTAAGTGGGTTAAGGTGGGTGGCCAAACAGATTGCAAACTATTAAGCTTGATTGAGTGTCGACTTGAGATATTGTGGATGAATGGCTAGTAGTAGTCCTCAACAATGATACCATGGTCTGAAGTAAAATGTGTAGGAGATAACAAGGGAGGTTGAAATAAGTGTAGGAGGTTTTATGCAATAAAAAATAGGTGGAGGAGGGGGGGGTCTTGATATGGAAGTATAAAATGACTTGGGTAGGATTGATGGGAGAGTAAGCAAGGTGAACAGTGTTATTAAATGGTTGGAGGGTGATGGCATGGAAAATGAAGAGGCATACGTGATAATAGACAAACATATTAGTTTTACCATCATTTTGGCGGACACTTAGGAACCATCACTAGTGTGCTAATTTTGGATTTTCAAGATCGTTTGATCTTGAAAGGTTTGAGCATGGAGAAATGATTAGGCGTTTCAAAGTCCGACACGACATGATTAACCGACACAAATCGATACGAATTAAGCGAGTTTGGGTAAGACCTTAACGGGTTCTGGTGTTAAACAAATTGACCTGTTAGACACGTTTAAGTGGGTCGTTTTGGGTGAGTCTAGTCAACCCATTTATCACTTGTTTACCCGTTTAAATAAAATTAATAATTATTTTAAACAATTAGGTAGAATTTTTTTAGTGACAACCACATAAAATATATATATATATATATATATTATTATATAAAATTATAGCTACATAATTTTATTTTTTTTAATTTAGTGACAACCACAAAAATATAATAATAAATTAAAAACTAAGCGGGTTCAACGAGTTGTGTTCGTGTTGAAGTTTTTCACCTGTTTATTAAACGGGTCATGTATGGGTTTACATGTTTTTCATCCATCACCCGTTTAATCTAACACCTAACCGTTTAACTCGAGACGTTTGACACCCCTATAAATGATACAGTAGAGATATTTTGTAAAAAGATGTAGCGCAGTAGCTGAGATTCAAATTCAATTGAAGTTTTTCAAGATTGAGATTTCTTCATTTGTAGTGACAAATTGCCGAAAAATTCTCACTAGATGCGGATTCTGCTTGTGCTTTATGGCTCGAGATAGCTATACGGGAGGTTGTCAGAGATGATCAACGTGGTCAC